AAAATAAACAAAAAAAAATTTTGAATGACAGGTTATTATTTGTTATTGAAAAAGCTACAAAATGGCCTATTTACTTTTTAAAAAGAAATTACTGAACCATATTTAAAACTCGAAAAACTCTTTTTTCTTGAGAAAATTTGAACTTTGACCTTCATTTTGAAAGTCAAAAGTTTAAGTGATTCATACGCGACCATTTTTTCTTTATTCTACATCATTTCAGCTTTAAAATACCGTTGGGTTCATTTCACTGGGGGTATTGGTTCGCGATTTATTTCATTTTGGAGATTTGTTTCTGATTTGGAACACTGTGTGCCGTACAAAAAGAAAAAAATCTAATAGACATTAATCGCTTCAAAAGAAATTCAATCCGCCCCATATCAGAGTCTTTTAGAAAATAACAACACTGAACATTACACAAAAAACAACTGTTTTGCATTATTTTTTTTTTTTAGGATACTGACAAGTAACTACACGACATTACAGTAGCCACCAGCTGCTAAACACCGAAAGACCTTACCTGTTATCAATTTCCTTCCGTAAAATCCCACAAAAATGCACAAAAATAACACTAATGAACAATCACCCCCCCCCCCCCCCCCCCCAACAAAGTACCTCATACTGAAAACACATCGCATAACAAACCAAATTTAATAGAAGCAGAAGTTACTTATTATGTAAATAGTAACTTTTCAGCTACTTACACAAACTGTCATTACGCCCTACCCATGCAACAACAATTATCATATAACCTTGTCTACGTCAAAATCATCGGCCCTCACAAACCACCATACGCCATACGATACATTAAATACACAGACTGCATACATCATGTCGTTCGACACTATGCCAACCTCGAATTACCTATAGACTCATTTCCTAAACCACCCGGCATTCACAGCCTTTTACCTTTCCGAACAAAAAACATCCGCTCTTTAAAACAATTTCATGAACACTACTCTAACTGTTTATACATAGCCATGAAATATATAGCAGAGATAAGAGATATCTTTGAGAAATACAATAACGAAAACGCCCCTACACAGACACATTACACCACGAGCCATCATCGCTACACCGAAGATAAAAATGCAATGCTCAGCAAGCTACTCAAACCCAGTACTAATTACCCTTCTGACACGCCCCCACGAGTGGCACCACTCCTGCTCCGAAGAAATTATAACACCTTCCCAGTCACACTAATAAACATTTTTAACCGAATAGACAATTGGGAATGGATTGAGATTTTTAACAAAATCGCTGTCAACGCTAGACAAAAATTTAAAAAAATAAAAATAAACAACTCTTCCAGCTAACACCAGCAAAATGCTCTTACCCAGAGTACTTTTCATCAGTCTATTAAATACTGTTATATGCCAAAACCAGCCAACTACAAAGCAATATGATAGTCAACCTGGAATCGCTTTTGAAAAAGGACCTACTATACGATTTATTCAAGAAAAATGGAATATTATCACCGCTCTTGATATCAACTCAGTACTTAACTCACATTACAATTTTACCCAAACACTGGAAAAAATATCTGCAACTTGCAAGACAATCGAGATAAACGATTTCATCAAAAGTTCTATATACACAGTCTACGAAGAAACAAAAAAACTCCAACACATCAACGAAGCAGTCAGCACCTCTCTCAACGCGTACGCTTTTGACACACCCAACGGGGGTCGGGATGCCCTAGCATCGCCAGACAGCCTCTTACTCGAACATGCCGATAAGGCTCTTGAAGATGTTTTGTATATGCGCGAGAGTAATTTGACCGAATAAATGGACGAATATGACTTATCTTATATTACCGAAAATAATTTACAATCAGAAACAAATATTTTGCTTTTTAGAAAAGCTCGCGCAGATTTCATTACTAGCGCAATGAGCCCAGTATATAATTCTACATACATTAGCCTTATTTTAGCCGAAATTAACGACATGTTACATAAATTTATTTACATATCAACTGAAGTACGTCAACTCCTGCAAAACAAACAATTTTCTTTCGATCCGCAATTTTTGCTGAACGCGATAAAAACTATCAAGGCAATGACTAATTCAAAGTTGCCAGTACATATGTCAAAAATCAATATCATAATACTACAACAAATTGCAGAAATTAACGTAGTTTACTTTCGTAAGAACATCATTGTCGAAGTAATTTTTCCCCTTGTCGCAAGTAGCAATACGCAGAGTTTCAAATTATATTCACTACCAGTATTTCAGTATTTTAACAAAACTAATCGAGTCGCTAAATTCATTAGACCACAAGGTGATTACCTGACTGTTATAGAGGGAGAAACTACCCATGCGTTTGTAAGCAAAAATTTAATTAATAACGAGTGTAAACGTATTTTTTCCTTCTATCTGTGTCCGCGCCCGACTATAATCTCAATAATATAATATCAAACAATAATTCCTGCGAGTTTAGTTTGTTAACATCACCGGAAGAGTCAAATCTTGTATTTTGCCAACTTTAAACTAGCTCCGAAACTGACTACTATCTTATACCAACGTTATAAAATAATGTTTTGCTATACTGAGTGACTCTCAATATTTCCTTTAATGTGAATTATAACGGCGTAGTACAGCCCTTTCTTTTGAATAGCGCTGGATTAATACAGATTCCCTAGCTGTGCGAACTTAGAACGAACCACCATATTTATTTGGGGGCTAAGAAAAAACTAAAGGCGGAAAATTTTGTGATTACGAAAATCTCTCTGATAACTACAAACGAAATAGTAATAAAAAGCCCAAAAATAAATAATAATCAAAACAGATACGAACACTCGGACCGAGTGAAATTATTACACGCGTATTTAGCGTTAGGAGTAACCATTATAATCGTTATCGCATCCGTAATCGCAGTAAGTTGCATACTCTGCACATATAAAGTGTGCAGTGACAAAGGCCATAGGTTCGAAAATATACCAATGCAAGAACTAAATCAGCCATTAAACCCTCAAAAAAGAATGATCTGCAAATCTGCACAGACATTACTTAAGGGAAAGTATTTAAGGCTACTAATCAACTACGACAATCCTCACTCCCCACCCATAGCCGTGCAAGCAATCTCACTCCAAGAATCCGAAACAACAGACACTCCTCCACCTCTCCCCACTTTCTAAAAAAAAAAGTATAAAAGTACTAACATGCCCCCTGTCGTGTCAGATACACCATAAACCAGCACAATGAAACGAACGGCAACTACCGCACTCGGCCCGCCGCACAAGAAGGTCAATAGATCCTGGACGACTGAACAGATATTTAACAACCGGACGTCGGCAGCAAAAATGGAACGACTAATGTTAAGATGGGAGAACCAGGAAGCTCAGATGAGCATGGAAAATTCTGAGCTGCCACTATTGAACGACGATGGAGACTGGAGCCACCACCAACTAACGTAGTATATTTTCCAGGAGGCTCATCACGGGCACCTGCACCTAAGGTTCGTCTTCGAGGAAACCTATGGAGGAGAGGGGTTCGGACGAGCCCCATTTAATCCATGCCGTATGTGCGGACAAGACACCGCACATTGACAGGGGTGTTTCTTCTACCGGGCACGCGTCGCGGCCGCTTCAAAGGACCAACAACCGGCCATGGAGGCCGAATGTGTCCGCCCGGAGTATTTTTATGCTCAGTAATGCTCCTTGTGCCAGATGTATCGGCAAGGAGGTTTTATGTAGGTTCCAGAGGAGTTTGCAGGTTCACCGTTTGGAGTTGCTGTAATCCTATCCCAAGTCCTTCCTATTTTTAGAATAATAAGTCAAAAAATAATAGTAATGATAATAACAAAAAAAAACACAAAAAATATAATAAGACACAAAAAAAATATATAACAAAACACAATATAAAAAAATATAACAAAAAACAAAAAAATATATATATATAACAAAAAAATATATATACAAAAAAGAGACAAAACTCACCAACAAAGTAATTACAGTAGCGCTCGGAGAGCGCTAGTCCCTTGCTTTATCAGCAAAGGACTCCGAGGGGTGGGCATGTCACGTCGATACAAAGAAAACGTACGTGACGAACTATGATAAGTAAATGTCGCACATAACGGGCTATGGTAACTAACCTGGTATCGGTAATTTAATTTCCTATCGTATCAACCCTCCCGGGAACATTTGTAAATCTATCTAGCGGGATAGATTAGTCTAAGCACGTTCTCCATAATATTTCCGCGAATATTACTCACCGCATATTAATTCGGCGAAAACACAAGAAGGGGCACATCAGCCTATGGTATAAAAAGGCTGGATTAGGATCCGCGCAACACAGTACGTGCAGTTCATATTACAGTTCACATTAGCGCTTATATTAGCAGCTCAGATTAACACTCATACTCTAGTACTCGTACTTATACTGATTTAGTTATTTCTAAGTTTCGCTATCTGGCTACTCAGAACCGGAATTATACTCTGCTAAGCATTATAAACTTGTCTTTAAACAATAAATCTTAAATCAAGCGGAAACACCTGAGACTGTTTATAAAAACCTCTTCTGAAACCCAGTCTTAACAAGGTAAGAAACTAAGTTATCTACCTAAATACGCTGCAAATAATAAAGGTGTTATCACTTTAACCAACCTCTGCTTAACTCCTGACTAAGATCCAACTTTTACCAACGCGATAGTATTTTAAATATTATTACGTCTAGCCGTAACATCTCCTCACCTAGATATAACACTTGTAAGATTTTGGTCATCGGAGATGATGTTTAATGTCTGAATTAATAATTCTGTCTAATTTACATGTATCACATGTACTATCTAAATCAAAATGTCTATTTCTACATTAAAACTTTCACGGCAATTTTAATCTACCAAATTGTTTTATTTTATATTTTACATAATTTCATTTCAACTTTATCCGGTCTCATGCAGAAATGTTTATATACATTTATAAGATAAAATGTTGTATAATATTACTCTGTATTGTAGGATGTTGTAAATATCTAGAATCAATAAATACAAATTTTATTTACAGGTTGCAGATATTGTCAATCTACATTTCTCAAATATGTTGGAGGTATTCTTAGATTGTGGCTGCCTTATTTTCCATAAGTTATTACCAATATGGAATCTAGTTCTCTCTTCACCAAATGTTCAGGTAAGAATTTAAACTTATCAATTAATTTTTATAGCATTATGAATATTAAATGAATATTTTTGCAAAATATGGTTTAATTTTTTATAACATATTATTTTATTACATTTTAGCTCTCTGGACATTTATTTATTCGACTTCAGAGTTATCGAAACACACCATTATTAATAAGAGATGAACGAGAAAATGTTCAAGACAGTAGAAATATCTTTCATTTGTCGCAGTGGCTAAATAGACTACAATTCAAAATGGGACAAATAGAGATTCAGTCCTCTAACATGACTCAATTCTATTCTTTTTAGAAATTTAGAAATAAACAGATCTAACTTAAATAAAATATTCAAGTATTACTTGTCTTTATAACATAATATTTTATTCATATTTGTTAATCGATTAACACCTCATATATGAATTCACGCGATCGTATATACAAGATGTCTTATTTTAACTTGTACAGTAGGGTAATTCAAAACTTTGCAAAATATATGGAAAATGTTTCAAATATAAATTGTATGATTCAAAGGGGGTCAATCCAGGATGACCTCAAACTTCACCTTGAACTTTATTTTTAAAATAATTTCAAGATCAACTAAGTTTTTTATACCATAGAAACCCCTATTTTTAACCTAGAATTAGATTAGAGCTGGAAATTCTACCTTTAGACGATCTATTATATGTGGAGTTTAGAGAATCCCTCGAGATCATTTCAAGTGCAGATTCGTTTTTTCAAATAAGAGCTCGTATTTTTAACCCCGAATTTGAATAAAACTGAAAATTCTAAATTTAGATGATGTATTACGATGTAAGGTTCGAAGGTCATTTAAAAGTTCATTTTACCTGATCTTACATGCTGCAACATAAGTCGTTTTCCTCCAGGTTACACATTTCTGACATTAAATGGCTCCATGTTAAAATTATAGAGCTTAATACGTAATGTTCTGCCTAAAATCGTTGGTTTTTTAGTTTTGGTTTAGAAAATCTGGGCTACGTAAAATGATAAAATAATTTGGCCGTCAGTTTCGAATCAAGCGATTCAGACAAATATTTTACTTCCACTAAATTAAGTAATTTTTTCAATTTTTGTACTAGTTTTACGAAAACGTTAAAGTATTAAACTTCGTTTAATAACATCTCTACGAACATAAAGATTTTTCAAATCGTAAAAGAGGGTTTTGGAAAACTAGTGTTAGTTTTAAATGGCATTATTCGGTTCTAGAAAAAATATTTTTTCGCTTTGTGATATAAGCTCAAATATAGCAAAAGAACGTGTTTTTTGCAAATTTACATTAGGGTATCTCAGAAATCTAGCGTAAAGAAGCAATCCTGACTCCGTATTCGGATTCAACGCACTAAAAATCTTCAGGCAAATGAGGTCTGGTTTTTGGATATGAAAATGCTGCCCTGTACACCGGTACACAAAGAAAACCACTTTCCTGATATTCCGACATGGCGTATATGTTTCTATATATTTTAAATCGCTGAGTAAGAATCGGAGATCCTGAGATCTTAGCACATATAGGTCAAGAGCATTTAAAGGTGATATGGAGAAAAAAGTCATTTAATCGAAAATATTTCCAAGGTTTAGATTTTTTATGGGGGCCGCGGTTTCTGAATTCGAGCTCTATTTGACCACAACCGGTCATGGTTAGGGTAAAATGTGTTTATTTTGCCAAACATGAATTTTGGACTACTGATTCTGAAAGAAAGGAAAATTTTACATCCAGATATGTATTTCATTTTTTATTTGTATCATAACTATCAAGGTCGTTTTAAAGTCACTTTTTGTTATTATGTAGAGAGTTCAGATAGTAATTGCAAAAATATGAAAATGTGGCGTTCGTGGGATTGGACTACTGTATTAATGTGATATTAATATGGTGGTTGCCGAATTCGATCTATTTGACGCCATCGAATCAAGTTTAAGGTCACGGTCAAATCGGATCTTGAAAGTCTATCCTATCCAAAATTTGACTCTAACATACTTTAGTGGTCGCTGAATTCGAAACTCGTTTGACCCAACAACTGGTATTTGTTGGTGAATGGTGTTTATTTTTTTCTTCGTTTATGACATTCTCTATTATTGCAAAGTATCTGTGCAGTGAATTTCTAGTTTTTTTCGGACTATCATCATTATTATCGTCTGGTACTTGATCTCCCTTTAGTAGCTAACAATAGTCTACCATATTCATGTCCCATTTCCCTTGCCATCTATGTTCAATTTCTTTCAGATTTTGAGGGAAACGCTCTTCTTGCATTTCGTTGCAATCGGCTAACAATAAGTTCTCAGGAAAATAGCTAACGTAAGAATCCATTATATAAGAATCCAAATAGAGTTTAAGTTCATCAAATATCCCAATCGTTGATAGTTCCTCACCATATAAAAAATATCAATACAATAGTCTAGTCCTATAAACGCCTTATTTACGTATTTTTTCAATTGTCATATGAACCCTCTTTATAATAACCTAAAGTGACCTTGAAATAATCTTGGTAGTTGTGATAAAAAAAATGACATAGATATCTGGATATAGAATTTCCCATTCTTTTAGAATCAACAGTCGAAAATTCATTTTCTGCATAATAAACACATTTGACTCTTGACTTTCACCTTGACCTTCACCCTTTGAAGTCAAATGAAGTTCAACTTCGGAATCAGGGACCCTAAAAAACAATAAACGTGGTACTATTTCCGTTCAAATGACTTTTTTCTCCAACTCACCTTCAAATACCCTTGACCCACATATGCTGTGGTCTAATGGACCTCGGATTCATGCTCTGCGATTCAAAGTACATAGGAATTTATATGTTACGTCCGAATATCGAAAAAGTGGTTTTTTCTGTGTGCTGGTATAATTATTATGGACATAGAATTACTGATAATTAATCCATCTTATAAAATATTTATTTATGTATACAGGATGTTTACTTACCCAGTAGGATATCTCAAAACTGGGCAAGGTAATCGAAAAATGTTTCAAACCAAAGTTGTATGGTTCGGAGGGGGTCAACTTATGATATCCTCAAACTTGACCTTGAACATGATTTTCAAGGTCATTTCAAGGTCAACTTTGTTTTTTTGAATAGGAACCCCTATTCGGATAGAGCGAGAATTTTGAGAGTAACTGAATTATCACTCAATAATTCTTTCAACCTCTCAAGCATCATTTTCCTAGCATCGTTCAGTGGATTTCTACCAGGATCACCTCGAGCCAATTATTTTTTCAAATTAGTTTCTGATGCAAAGTACTGACAAACAGGTAAATAAACTTCTGAACGTACGTTAATGATAATCTTGTTCACTAGACCACTACCAGTCTTTCTGTAATGATAATGAGAGATCATACTACTTTGAAAGATGATAGTTTAATGAAGTCTTCAATATATAAGCAGTCTTTTTATAGTCTTGGACTCATTCGTTAGTGACTCAGTGATAAGCAAACAACATGGATTTTAAGGAGCAACCTTTCAAAATTCGGGTTATAAATTTCGATGGGGTAGTGGAAACTAAGAAACGTGAAGAAAGACATGGTGAATTGCTGCCAGATAGTATACGAGCAGTTTTTTGTGGACTAAGTAACTGTGGAAAAATTAACTGTTTGCTAACGTTAATTACCCTTCCAATTGGTCATAAATTTGAAAATGTATATGTTTATTCAAAGTCACTGAACCAACACAAGTATCAGTTTCTAAGAAATTTATTGGAGCCAATATATGGAGTGCAATATTACTTGTTTAGTAAACATGAGTCAGTTATCTCGCCAGATAAAGCACAACCAAATTCTATCATGATTTTCGACGACGTCGCAACCGAGAAACAAGATAACATAAGGGCATTTTTGTGTATGGAAAAGCATAATAAAGTAGATAGTTTTTACTTTTGTCAATATTATGTACGCATTCCAAAGTATCATATCAGGGATAATGTGAATTTATTAGTTTTATTTCGACAAGATGATATTAATATCAAACATATTTACAAGGATCATGTTAACTTAGACATGCTTTTCGAATAGTTGAAAGAGATTTGTTCAAAATGTTAGAGAGCTGATAATCATGGATTTTTAGTTATCGATAGAAATAGACCAATAAATTTTGGAAGATATAGAAAAGAATTTGATTCTTTTGCTATAAATATCGTAGTCTGAGTGAACAAGTGTTATTTTTCTTTTATCAATATAACTATCAACAGTATTAATTAGGATTAGTATCTGTAGAATTTACAGTACCTTCTTGTTATTGTTAGTAAAATTTTTAGTAGTAGTATCGATAGCGATAATATCATCGACGGCAGTTGCAGCAGCAGATTCGGCCGCAGTCTGCGCTCTAGTTTTTTTTTTGGAATGGTACTTGTGTTGATGTGTCCGTTATCTTCTCAGATTTATCAAACGCATCTATTCTTCAGATCAATCCCGGCTGAGCACCCAAAATATTACAAACACGCACACGCAATAATAATATATAATAATACAAATTCTACGAAAAAGGAACGAAAGCCTATTTATTATTATTTATATATATCCATCATCGACTGTTCTATTAGTTATAATACAATTAGGCTCCTCAACATAATCTTTAGCATGTATTTCCTCAAAACCATCGTCAATCTCTTAGGGATTGATATCAAAGTCATCATAATACGATATGTGTGTGTGTGTGTGTTTGAAGTTAATAAAACATGTTTTGAAGTTTGGACCACATAATAAGCAATTGATTAATCTTGATTTGTCTTATATATATACGTGACGCATATCATTGCGGTTAATATGATGAACAAACATTAAAATTCGGTATGATTGCGGTTAACGCCGCAAAACAAGATTAAAATTCGATTTGATTGCGGTTAATGAGGCAAACTAAGATTGAAATTCTATCATAACATTTCTTCCTATTCAGTAAAATAGGCCGACAGAATACGATAACATACGTAACTTGAGTGAACAAAACAACTTTTGCAGTTAGAACAATATGTACAGTAAAAAACGGGATTATGGATGTTCTAGTAAGACTGAAAGTAATTTTTGAAGCAATTTTATGCGAAAAATTTGAATTCATCCTCAGAATTGAGCTATTATATCACGCTTTCGAGATATCCTAATGTAAACGTGCTAAAGCCTTTATGCTAGATTTTTATCTATATTCAAATTATGCGACATTGTAAATGAATTTTATTTCCACGAATGGACCGTTCACTATAAAGTAGTACTTCTAACCTTTAAAATACAATTTACAGATTATGAGTACATTTTTCTTTATCGAGATGATCGGAGATGCCCCGTGGGGTTAATCAGTAGCTATGCGAGTGGAGTTGATCAGGAGTATTCAGGGGTATACGAGTGGTATCGATCAGACGATATGCGAATGCGGTAAATGAGCGTTAATCAACAAGTATGAAAATGAGGTTAATCTGGGAGTGAGGCTGATAAGGGCGTATGCGAGCGAAGTTGATCAGGTGATATGCGAGTGGGGCTAATC